GGGAGAAATTTTGAATAATGGGGCCAATACTTCCCAAGATGCTCGTCTTGATATTCTAGCCAGAGGTTTCTGGGAGCGACAGAAGTCTGCATACTTTGATGTGTGGGTATTCCACCCTTATGCTGACTCCTATCGTGAGAAGACATCTGAGCAAGTCTTTAAACAGCACGAAAATGAGAAGAAACGAAAGTATGCCAGTAGAGTATTGGATATAGAGCAAGGATCCTTTACGCCCCTGATCTTTAGTACCACCGGAGGGATGGGCACTGAATGCAAAATTTACAATAAACGCTTAGCTGAACTCATATCCATTAAGAAATGTGAAACACACTCTACCACTAGGTCCTGGATTAGAGCCAAAATCTCCTTTGCGCTCTTACGATACGCCCTCTTATGTTTGAGAGGTACAAGAAAGAAGAGAAGAACATTTGAAACATTCGATACAGATTTTTTAATTGACAATGCTATGGCAAATATAGGCTAGACATTTTTAAAATTTGTTTTTATAGTGACAGTTTTTTAGAGTAAGAGTTTCATTTCCCTTTTCATATATTTTTTTTAATGCAATTCACTTTTATAAGGATAATTTCGAGGCACGTTTTCTGAAATTCTTTTAATACGAACTAGTAGTTGCTTTCGCGACTTTTATATGTAGGTCGTTTTTGTTATCAAAGTTAGTTTGGGTCTGATACGAGTCTGATCCTAGAGAACCGAATTATTATAATTATTTTTGTTGTTGTCATTATCGTTACTAACCGAAGCGTGTATCCAATAGCCTTTCTTGGATTTTTATCAGACATTTTAAGCCTTTTAACATGATTTTTGTAAATTTTTAGTGATTATGGTAAATAAAGGATTATTATTAGAATTAAAAAATGTTAATATTATTATTATTATTATTATTATTTTGCGTTTTTAGGTCAAATCGCTGCCTGGTCTTGGTACCACCATAGATTTAATCCTGGTGAATGGGAAACTCAAAGAAGGGGACACAGTGATTGTGGCCGGAATCGAGGGTCCCATTGTGACCCAAATTAGGGCCCTTCTCACGCCTCAGCCCCTCAAAGAGTTACGGGTTAAAAACCAGTATATTAACAACAAGGAACTAAAGGGGGCTCAGGGAGTTAAAATCGCTGCAAAGGACCTGGAAAAGGCCCTTGCTGGTATACCACTGTTTGTTGCCCAGCAACCAGATGAAGTGGATTATTGGAAGGTATGTGACATTTTTCGACGGCTATTTATTGATGATATGTGATATGATTAATTACAGTCAACAAGGTATATGAAAAGCCCTGATTTTCCATTTGCGTGTTTAGTGCTTCCGCCATGGTTACCCGCTTCACGTTTGCTCTAAGATAATGCAATGTTTGACCCTTCAACATTTCAAAACATGTTAATTCTCCCTATAATATCAGTACATTGTCCAGCAAACAGTTAAAGGAGAATATTCAAACTTATCAGGTAGAAGTTGTTGTCTTAATATAACACCAAATTCTCGTAACTAATTTACAAGGAAATGTGTAGCAGCTACAGGGGAGAATTGGACATCAGATCTTAGAGTTAGAGGGATAAAAGTATAATTTCGTGAAGTGAAAATACTAAGCAGCAGAAATATCAATAATATTTTTTAAAGAGAGTATTCGCTTTCATAGATTCAGTCTATGTACTCTTCTACACTATCCTTTGACAATGTTACTTTGGTTGTAGGCCAGTAGCTGTAGATGCACATCAGCTTCAAAATTTGAATTTGTTTTTGAGTCATAGTGGCAGCGTTAACACCTGGAACACGTTAGAAATCGGTTGTAATGGTGTCGTGTCCATTGAGTCGCTATTATAGACGGCTAATTGTGATTTCTGTACTCTGACTGTTATCAGAATGAAGTGGCCACTTTATTGCGTGACACTCTACAATCTATCAAGTTGTCTGACCGTGGTGTGTATGTACAAGCCTCTACCTTGGGATCTCTGGAAGCTTTACTTGAATTTCTGCGCACTTCAAAAATTCCCGTGAGTAGCATGTATGGTATTGTATTGCTAGGAATACGTTTGTTTTGTTTGTTTGTTTTTTTTTATTCAATTTGCAAAGCTATTTTTCCAATCAGTAATTCGGTCAAATGATGACTTATCATCTGTTACTATATTTTCGTCATCACTCTACTTATTTGTAAAAAGTCTATCACTCAATAATTAGTTATTACTCGCAGATGGTAAGCTGTTTTGTTATTTTTCAGTACTCCGGAGTAAACATTGGTCCAGTTCACAAGAAGGACATCATGAAATGTTCCACCATGTTGGAGCACGATAGCCAGTGAGTCCTTATCAATTTTACCGCGCAAACCTTCATCATGGCAGCTTCTCCTCTAATTAATCTTTTTTCTCCCTTAAGCTTTTGACCCCTGAGATGAGTTGCAACTAACTTTTCCCTTCATTATCATTACAACATCAAGCAGACAAGTGATGAGAAGAATGGAAATTGTATTTCAGGGAATTAGCATTGATCCAGTGCTAAATTCTGCAAACTTAACATCATAAGAATTGTGTGAAAGACAGAAAGGAGAATTGCCATGAGATCTTGGGAGTTAAATATTGACACCTCTCCCAGCTCACATACGTATTCGTATCGAACAAACAGTGTGCATATATCTTATTAACCAAGCGTGAGGGCCGTACTGGGATAATATCGGCCTGAGGTCTTGACAGTACTGACTGAGCGCAGCGAGGTCTGTACAAAAAAGACCGAGGGCCAATATTCTTCCAGTACGGTCCCGAGCAAGCTTGATTAATAAGAGATTTATTATACGACTGAAGTTCAAAGGGACACAGTGTGGTACCATTCGGGACCATTCGGACCATTCGGGACAGTGCCCGGTCCAATACTTAGAGAATATTGGACCGGCAATAGAGCATTTTGATTGGTTGATTTTAGTTATTGGCCCTCTGACTGCTCGAGTTGTGTAATAAATCTTGTTATAGACCACTTTCATAAATGGCTGCCGGATTAATATTCTTTTATTTAAATTTAAATTAGCCCTTCTGGCCTCGCTTGAGATAATGTATTCTTTTGAATTTCGAACTGGAGAACGAGGCCAGAAGGGCTAATTAAAATTTAAACAAAAGAATATTAATCCGGCCGCCATTTATGAAAGTGGTCTAAACATTGTAAAAGGTCATAATAGTGTTGGACATTATTCACTCCCCTGTCTCTTACTACAACTTTTCAATTTTTTTTTCAAATTTTATTTTGACAAGCTTAGCCGGAATTTTATTTCGAAAAACGGAAAGTGATTTCAAATTATTTGCTGATATTTCTAAAAATATATATATATTTCCTCAAAATTGTAGCAATCATAACAGGTCCTAACCACGGACATTATGTCTGGTTTGTTTTTTCTCACTTTTGCTCGCGCTTGTTCGTGTTTTTATTTCAAATGCTTTGCTACACATGACACGTGTTTGTCACCGCATTTCTTAGATACGCTGTGATCCTGGCCTTTGATGTACGGATAGAAAGAGAAGCACAAGAAATGGCTGACAGTTTGGGCGTGAAAGTGTTTTCCGCCGACATCATATATCACTTGTTTGATAAATTTACAGCATATAGAGAGGTAAGACAAATACAGCGCCTTTCTGGAAGAAGAAGTTGCTTTCTTAAGAGGGAAGGCCGGGGTGGCAGACTTCTTCCCCACTAGGGGCCAGCCGACTTACGAAGAAAGATAAACCTCGGCATCTCCCTTTGTAGAACTAATAGATACAAGAACTCTTTATTACCAGCCATTGTTTTTTAGGAAGCTAACCGCGCCATGCCTGGCTAAGATTTTATCCCTCACGAGTTTTTTAAGCATAGTTCATCATCATCATCATCATCATCATAGTATCTCTTTAATTCAGTAAACGATTCTTCTATTTATTTATGTATATCTCTTATGGTAGCTGAGTTATCGAGGAATATTTTAGGCCCTACAGTTTGTTTTAAACTGTTTTTCAATGCCTTTCACTAGGATCTCAAACAAAAGAAGCGAGAAGAGTTCAAACACATCGCAGTGTTTCCGTGTAAGCTTCGAATCATGCCACAGCACATTTTTAACTCTCGTGGCCCGATTGTCGTCGGTGTGATTGTGGAGGCCGGTGTAATAAAGGAAGGGACACCAATAACGATTCCAAGTAAAGAGGTCAGTGTTGTTGTAAGGCGTAAAAGTGCTGTGTAACTTGTGTATTTCTGATACGCCTTGTAGGTTTGAACGACTCGAGTCGTGCCCATGATTGGCTTGACTGACTTGTTGAAAGTGTTAACCCTTTAACCCCTAAAAGTGACTAGAATCTAAATTCTCCTTACAATATCACCCCTGAATGACACATTAAGGTCAGGAAAATAAAGGAAATGATCAACAACTTAAGAAGCTCCTAATTTGGATATATCAACAAAGTTAAAATGGTAAATTGGCCACCGTAACGATTACAAAAGCTGACGTTTCGAGCGTTAGCCCTTCGACGAAGGGCTAACGCTCGAAACGTCAGCTTTTGTAATCGTTACGGTGGCCAATTTACCATTTCAACTTTGTTGATATATCCAAATTATTTCGTTACTCCCACCGACGCAGCCCCAAACAGTTTCTTTCGAAACTATCAGCCTTCATTAAGAAGCTCCTGATTGTTAAGTGTATTCTCCTTGTCAGCACCTTAGGAAATGTTCGGAGAACAGTATGGAGAATATGCATACTGATGTTAGGGTGTAATGGTTCTGATATTCTACTCAGCTGCAGGGGTTTCTTTAAATTATTTTTTACAAGTGGCTTCCCATGGTGCAATAGGCGCCTGTGCGTCAAGGCGAAACTCGAACACGAGAGCCTGCTCGCGGGCTCAACAGACGGCGGTGATAGGTCCTATCGGCGGCGGAAGACAGACGGTAACTTGCTTTTACTGAAACCCCGGCAGTATGTAGAGTTGGTAGATGTACCCCCTTTATAATTACTTACATGGCCCGTTCAAGAAGCGCATCATAAGTGAGTCAAGCACTTCAAGCCTGTTATTGAACGCCCTGTCTTTCTGTTGTGTGGCAGCACTGATCTTGATTTTCTTTACACATGTATATTATGAAGTTTTTGGACGTCGGTGTCCTCACTGGTATTGAAGCAAACCACAAGCCGCTTACTGAAGCTCGTAAAGGAATGGAGGTGTGTGTCAAGATCGAGTCTCCTTCAGGGGAGGCCCCCAAAATGTACGGGCGGCATTTTGATCACACGGACCTGTTGGTCAGCAAGGTGAGATTACTTAGCTGTCTAATTTCTTTTATTTTTTATTTCTTTGTTTATTTGTAACAACTATAATTTTCAAGTAATCAATCTATAATTGCAGGAGAATTGCAGTTTTACCTATATACAAATTTGTCAACAACTAAAAGAGAATTTAGTGATGTGGCGGAAAAAAAAAAAACTACTAGAAGCTAGAGCTTATAAGATTTGGGTTACGCAGACGATTTTATCAGGAACGAGTGAGTTGAATATTGGAGTTTTCTCAGTAAAATTTTTTTTTAAGTAAATTCTTATAGCTCGAATATCGTTGGTTGAGGTGAGATCACTTGATAGCTGGAAGACTTGGGTGAGAGTAGAATTTTACAACATCCCGCAATTTTTGTGTCATAATTCTTATGAATTTTCTAGTTCTTAGGCTTCCACTTGAAGAACAAGGGGTCCAAGTGTGCTATGGCCCTCATCCTAATCAAGAAATACTGATAATTTAAGCTAATTTAACAGTCGTACACGTCTCCGAATGCGAACAGGTCACTGATGTAAGCCTTTACGACTGCGCAATTTTAGCACTTTAGGAGCAAAGCGAGACAAATCAAAGTTTCTGCTATGTTGCCATCTCTATTTCATGGAGGCTAATCACGTTCAGTGTGTTAAAATGCTCTTCTGTTTCTCGATGTTTTACAGATAAGCCGGGAGTCTATCGATGCTGTGAAGAATTACTTCAGGGAAGATTTACAGAAATCCGACTGGCAGCTCATGATCGAACTCAAGAGAATCTTTGAAATTATATAAATACGGGATGAAGAGTGTCCAGAGACTTCAAGTTTTCAATCGTATTTAGTGGCTAGGGATCTGTAAGCATCTCTAAAAGTTTCTAGAATCCGTTCGGGAAAGGTTGCCAGGTTGTGGGGGAAGATTGGTCACCATTTTTGTAGCAACTTCTTCCGACTGCAGCCTCGAATTCAGAGCGCGGTTTGCTTTCGTTGTACTCTCCTCAAAAATCTTGTGTCACGCCTAAGTATTCTGTCCGCTCTATCAAAGTACTGGGTGCATCACTGATTACATTTTGGGAACGTGAAACTCTGACTCGAAAGACAATCATTGCTCAATCAGAAATGCGCATGCGATGTTGGGCTGGTGCTCTATAGCGAATCCTCTTTAATTACAAGACCCCCCCTGTCCTGGATGTTGTAGTATTTAATTTTTGCGGATGTGGAACCTTCTTCGGGACTAGGAAAATATCTCCTGGTTGGAAGAGTCCCTTTGGTAAAGTTAATAAAAACAAAGGTTGTTAGATAATGTTTTCAGTTGGTTCTTAAGTCCCTTGAGAGAAGGTGCGCGCCGACTGTAGGGGCCCTTGAAGAGAGATTCCAGTGGATGACAACCAGTACTGTGTCATATTGTGCGGCTCGTATAGTTTGCCAGTTGCCCAAACTCATTACGCACTTTCCAACTTTATGTTCAGATACGTAAGATGATTTGTAACGAAGTCAGATAATTAATGGTGCATTAAATATCCGCAAAATTTCGCGTTTTTTTGTGGTTATTTTGTTAGTTTCCTTGTTGAGGTTCTGAAATTCCACTAAACAAAGCTACTTTCTTGTGCGAATGACCTCAAACAGATCAACTTAAACTTCTGACTTGGCTCTTGGCAAATGGATCAAAAGATGTATTTCGCCTTGCGTCCTTCAAGGGTTACTTGACAAATGCGTAAATAATCTGCAGAATTTAAGCTTGAGAGCAGCCTCTGATTGATGTGGCCCAAGCGGCGAGGCTTGCGAGTTTATACGAAGACGCGAACGAAGCGAGCAAAAGGAAGGTTTGTTTGGGATCTGGCACGAGAAAAAGGGCCCCTCTTAGACTTGTTTAGATTGCATGACTCGTATTTAAATATTTTGTTGATGTTTCCTGCTGGGTTTCTCAGAGCAGTCAACTGAAGAAAGCTATTTAAGCAAGACAGTTGGGGCGGTATTTGCCATGACTCTTCATATCCTAGGCTAATGTAAAGCTAAGGTATCTGTCGGACGCAAGTTTGCCAAAGGTCTCATTAAGTTCGCAATTTTCCTGTCAATAAAATCTCGCTCAACTGACAGCTGCGCCTGCATAAATTAAATTTGGTGGAGTGCGACCGCGCCAGCGTGTTAAACTGCACGAATATTGCCTCTGTCGCTGTTATTAACAGAAAAAGATTCAAGACGAAGGGGGAGGTAAGCCCTTTCGCGTTTTACTTGAAATAATGAATGAAACAGTGTAAAAGAAGGCTTTTAAAATTTTGCTTGTTATAAAACATTCTTAGTCGTTTTGATTATATATTCATCAGAGCATATTTGCAAATTGTCTTCTATGTGCGATAGCTTCGATCATAGTTATCGAGGGGACTCGATTAACTATGCTTCGATGAAGAGAAATGAACATGTAATGTATATTTCTAAACTTCGTTTAGATTGAATGAATTGTTTATGATTTCTTCAACTCCAGCGACAGAAAATAGCGAGAGAGTCGATTTGTTTCAAAACAGATCTTTACATTCTAGTCTGTTGACCAACTTGGCGTCCTACTTTAAAGAAGTTAATCTTTGTTTTGGTTTCAAAAGTCATTTTTGTGCATTTTGTTTTGAGTGACAATCCTTTTTGAGGGTTTTTCAAAATAATCTTCTACTAGACTGCTACAAATGAAAAGCCAACCAAGTACATTTTAAGGCAACATTTGAATTAATGCGTTGCGTGACATCTTCCGGTTTGGTACCTGAGAAGTCACCGCGTCTGCATCTTTGAAATCACCCAAAACCAAAAATTTTGTCAGAATGAAATGTAGCGTGTAGAACCTATTCTGATATATTAAAAAAAAAAAAAACAAGCAAAAGAAAGGCAATGCTGTAAATTGAGTGTGCAGTAATCCGGGATCGCCATAATTTTGCTCTACTTTGTCACCATACTGCTCTCGACCATTCAGATAAAAAATATAAACCAGCTGTTACTCGGTAATTTCCGTCAGGTTATTCCGCGCTTCAGGTCTTGTTAATCGGTAACTTCCGTTTTCCCGTGCTTCAGGTCTTGTATATGAGTTTACTTTAGATTCTCATCGGTTCCTCGTCGCACTTTGTTCAGTTTGGCGGGTCTAATTTCTTTGGTCTTAATTTGATGACACTGTTTAAGACCTTTCTTAAACCGATGTAGCCTTATAATTTCAAGGCTAACAATCATACAAACTTGTTTTCAGAAAAGTTATCAGAGCATTACCAATCATGAGTACTGTAGACAGCTTAAAGCTTTTGATCTGGGGCAGTGGTAATGGTGCGCATGCCTTCGCTGGCATCGCCTCTGCACAAGCGGGAACTGAGGTCAGAGTGCTCAGTTTGTATCAAGACGAGGCTGAGCGTTGGAGTAAAATCATGCAGACCGCTGACCTGGAGATCACATGCAACCGCCGTGACCAAGACCCGAGTGTCATCAGATCCAAGCCGGCTTTGATTACTAAAAACCCAGAAGAAGCCGCACGTGGTGTTGACATTATAGCTTTTGTACTGCCAGCATTTGCTCATCAGGTGTTTCTGGAGGCTCTCAAGCCGTATATTGAACCAGGAGTGATTATTGTTGGTCTGCCTGGGGCCTCGGGACTAGAATTCCAAGTTCGGGGAATTCTGGGAGATAAAGCAAGCACTTGCACGGTGATGAACTTCGAGTCCTTGCCTTGGGCGTGTCGCCTGGGTGAATTCGGTAGGAAGTGCGAGGTCCTGGGAACCAAGGAAACCTTGGTTGGCGCAATGCAGGTTAGAACATGGCGCAATCTAGTTTTTCGTGTGACGCATGTTTTGGGTTTTCAGCAGTTATGTGACATTAAATACAGTCGTGTTGGATAGGAGAGTTATATTTTTTCTGCTGGATCAAAATGATGTAATTATAGGAAATGCTTGTAAAATACAGTTAACAGAAATTCTGCTCCTTGCGTCTACTATAAACATGGTTTTGTAACTTTCATCATTTACCCAGGTCGGATCAGGTGCGGCACCAAAGAAGGAACCAGTAACGTCCTTGCAGTACCTTCTTGGTGAGCTTCCTCGCTTGACTGTCTCTGGGCACCTTATCGGTGTTTCTCTTATGAACCCTAATGCATGCTCACATCCGGCCATCATGTATGGTCAGTGGGTGGGGTGGGACGGGAATCCATTGGACCAACCACCCATGTTTTATACCGGAGTCACTGAAGAGACAGGTGAGCTACTCACCAAAATGTCGGACGAGGTAGTTCACTTGGGAAAAGTCATCGCAGAGAAGACTGGTGCTGATATGTCTCAGGTAGATTTTATCATGGTTTTGTAAATAATTACTTTATAATGGGCCTTGCTCCCCATAGAGTCTCTGTGGCCCACTGGTAGAGCATTGGAGCGCGGAATTCGAAGGTCTGAGGTTCGATTCATGGGGACTCAGAGTTTTTCTTTGTCCCACGCCCGTGACAAGGCGAAAAATATCTTTCTCTATTTATTATGGTTTTAGAACTCTGTTCAAGTTATCTTTTTCTTTTTACACCTCACCGCAACAGAGAGTCGAGCTAACAGCTATAATTACCCTATCGCCCGTCCCAAAATTATGATTTTAACTCATTTATTTCAGCAATGATTATAATATTTTCGGACGCAAATCCCGCGCAATTTGCTCGAAAGCGAATAGCAAAGGATATTTGGAATTTGAGTAGCCAATCAGAGCGCGCCTTCAACGCTATCCACCGTTTTAGTATATACTAATTTTAGATATACTGGGATCTCCAAAGTTCCAAACACGAAAGGGATTGAAAATTAATTTGGAGGGTTTTCTTTAACGAGGGGGCGAGAGGGGAGTAGGATGGGGGGCGGTTGTCGGCGTCTCTGAACTTGATTATCAGTCTTGGCTGCAGAACAAGTGATTCTGCAAGTTTTGTTGATGAGAAGTATTGCGTCTGGGGACAGGAATTTGATTCATGAGCTGTTGTAGAATGTTGGTTTGATTTTCTCAAGCTTCCCCGGTGCGTTGGAGAAAGGCTTCTTACAATTTATCAAAATAATCTGATTACTACTGTGATAACGTAATTTAGAGTTTTAATTTCACGGCGTCTGAAATTGGGGTTGAACATCCGATACCCGTTCATCACATTTACCGCAGACAGACAATGTCTGGATCCCAGATTAACAAATTTTTCTAGTTCGAATTAGTGCGACTATCTCTTACGAATTGTTTCAATTTGCCTTTTCAAGGCGTTTCGTTAATTAACAGGTTGCGATAGTAGTGCAGAACGTTCCGTTCCGGTAAAACGAGGAGGCTTGGATAGGGTCTCGACGCGTCACAAACCTTCGTTCTCATCTGGCCCCCTTCTTCTTTACAAACCTTCTTTCTTGTCTGCTTTCTCCTCTGACCCCTTCTTCTTCACAAAGCTTCTTTCTTGTCTACTCTACTATCGCGTCGCGTTTACTAAATGAATGTTAGGATCATACCATGTTTCGCTCAGCATGACTGATTTAATCCCACTGGATTACGCATAGAAAATTTCCCTACCGAAGGTCAAAAAAAAGTGTTTTACACACTAAGCTGAAGGTAAAGGTGCATTGGAAGGGGGTAGGAAAAGTATAGAAGGGAGACGGGCTGTAAAGGAGAGTTCTTCGTGTAAATTATATTTTTAGTGTGTGGGTAGATTCATCCAAACAGTAGTAAGCACAGAGGAATCAATCAGCTAATCCTTATCTCATCGTGGATGCAAGACTATTGAGTCCCAACCAGACTGTATTATTCGTAATCTGATTTCTCTTAGGTCGTTCCCATGTTAGAATGGGATTTGCGCTGTTATCCTGAGGACATAGCTGATAAGACAAACCAGTACACCGCTTTGCGAACAAACGCCGCTTACCAGGGCCTGAAACATCCAGTGAAAGAGACGGAAAACGGGAAATTCGTGCCAGATTTTTATCACCGCTATCTGACGGAGGACATCCCGTACGGGCTCTCTGTCATACGGGGTATAGCGGATATCGCAGAAGTGAAGACGCCACACATCGATGAAGTGCTACTCTGGGCTCAGGAGAAGGTCGGGAAAAACTACATCGAGGATGGGCAGCTTAAAGGGAGTGATGTCGCTACCACCAGAGCACCACAAAGATACAACCTCTTAACGCTTAAAGACGTGCTGGGTTGATGATATAGCTGTTGCTTTTGGAGACAGAACTAAGCATTGATTGCTCGAACACCACAAACACTCTTATTAAACCCTTCTCCCCTTATTTTACTAAGCCCATCGTTTAAACCTTCCAGTTTCTTATAGACCCCTTTCGTTAGATAGCGTTACAGAGCATGTAATTTTAAGCCTGAATTAGTTTCTGTTTTCTTTATCGCAGGTTTTTTAGTCAGAGAAATGCATACTGTTTACAGTTTTCTTTGATTCTAGGCAACAAATGAGAAAAAATGTTGGCTCGAATTTTGGCCCCCCCCCCA